GATGAAGCAAAGTTGATCAGAGTTAAACAAGGAGTCAACCTGACCAAAAGTCAAGGTCATTGGGTCAAAGGTCAAGGTTACATTTTGTATCTTTTCACTGGTGAATATTTCGCTATGACATGAAGCAAAGTTGTTCGGAATTAAACAAAAAGACACACTGAGGTAAAAAGTCGAGGTTGAAGGTCAAGGTCATTAGATTCAAATGTCAAGGTCAAATTTTCCATCTTTTCACCGATGAACATTTTGTTATGACATGATGAAGCAAAGTTGATCAGAAATAAACAAGGATTCGACTGACAAAAGGTCAAGGTCATGGGGTCAAAGGTCAAGGTTAAATTTTGTATCTTTTCACTGGTGAACATTTCACTATGACACTTTGAAGCAATGTTGTTCAGAATTAAGCAAGGAGACAATTGACCAAAGGTCAAGGTCACTGGGTCAAAGGTGAAGGTTAAATTTTGTACCTTTTCCCTGATGAACATTTTGTTATGACATAATGAAGCAATGTTGTTCAGAACTTAACACAGAGACAACTGACCTTAGGTCCAGGTCACGGGGTCCAAAGGGTCAAGGTCAAGTTTTGTATTTTCACTGATGAACATTTTGTTATGATATTAAGAAGTAAAGTTGGTCTGAATTAAAGAATAAGTCAACTGACCAAAGATCAGGGTCACTGTGTTAATGGTCAAAATCATTTGGGTCTAAAGGTCAAAGACAAAGTGGATTTAGTCTGACTTTGACCCTGGCTCTTGATGGAGGAGGTATAGAAGGTGAAATAAAGCAAATCAAAGCTAACAAATGCGTATTGCACCGGTATTTACATTTCTGTTAGCCCAGCAAATATGGAGGTGGAAACAAGACTCACATCATAGTACATGTAAATATATATTTTGCTTCCTCGCGATTCTTTTTGAAGTCCAAATGTCAAACGTCAAGCTCAGCTATATGGGCAGATTGCTTCTTGATGATTATGGGGGATATATTGCCACAAGACGGGGCCCTTACTGACCTGTCAGTGTTCTAGTTCAACACGTACTAGATTTTGATGTAAACATTCTTCGTTGCTTTACAAATATTAAAACGGGGAAGGTTGGCATTATGATAATTTTAAAAATCCAAGAATTGTGTTGTTTTTGTAAAAGCTATTAAAATGTTCTACATAATTAAAATACTATCGACAATGAAGTCTGGTCAGGTTCTGTACAGTTAAATTAAGTACCGGTTAGGGTTAGATTATATGAGCCAGGGTTTATTTTATCTCAGTGGTGACTCTTCTTCTTGCCTGTTGTGAGTATTAGACTGAGGTGTAAGGGAGACTACTCCTGCAGAATTTCAGATAGAAACTTACTTGTGTTATAAAATATCCATGGTTGCAATGAGTCAAAGATATGCATGGAGAACATTTCAACATGTTTGTTTTAGTTTGCTGTAATTTTCTGTAAACACTCTTGGTCCTGTATAATATCTGTCTTCACAACCTAAGTTCTATTTTATTTTGTTGTAACAATCTCCTTCACAAGTTACACATACTTTGTATGCTGTTGTTATGATCTGCTGTACCAATCCAAGTTATTTTGTACACCATACTTAGCAAGTCTCCTTTTTGTAGTGAGATTCCAAATTTTCCACCCCCATTCTTTTTAGTTTTCAGTCAAGTACATTCATCCTGCACTTGATCAAAATCAATTAGTTTGATGCATAGAACAGCTAAAACAATGACATTTAATACAATAATATTTATCAAATAGGGGTGATTGTTCGTACTATCTAAACAGTTGAAGGTATTTTTCATGTCTTTCCTGTCTATAAAAAAAATGAAAAGTTTGCATTCATTGAACACTATTTCAATTATGTTATATTTGATATTTAGTATAAGTTTTCTTTTTTGATAATATTTATGGTGTTACAATAGTTTTTTGGGAGAAACTATGATATATAAAAGAAGTAAGGGTCCTGCATCAGAAAACAGGTGCCTCACAGGAATCATTGCCATGGCTTGTGATTGGCTGTCATTCAAAGAGTCATGTCTACATTTGAACACTTCTAAGGTAAAAAGTTATCAAATGAACGCCACAACAGGTGGAGTTGATATTAAAGTTGTCATATAATAATATCATGTTCTATACGTAATTTTAGCGATCATCGGCCAAGGTTGATGTGTTAGATGTCGCTCTTGACAACTTTAGGGTAGTAGGGGATATATCAGTGTGGGCCCCGGCTAACTGAGAAGTTTAGGGTAGTAGGGGATATATCAGTGTGGGCCCCGGCTAACTGAGAAGTTTAGGGTAGTAGGGGATATATCAGTGTGGGCCTGGGCTAACTGAGAAGTTTAGGGTAGTAGGGGATATATCAGTTTGGGCCCCAGCTAACTGAGAAGTTTAGGGTAGTAGGGGATATATTAGTGTGGGCCCTGGCTAACTGAGAAGTTTAGGGTAGTAGGGGATATATCAGTGTGGGCCTGGGCTAACTGAGAAGTTTAGGGAAGGAGGGGATATATCAGTGTGGTCCCCGGCTAACTGAGCAGTTTAGGGTAGTAGCGGATATATCAGTGTGGGCCCCGGCTAACTGAGAAGTTTAGGGTAGAAGGGGATATATCAGTGTGGGCCTGGGCTAACTGAGAAGTTTAGGGAAGGAGGGGATATATCAGTGTGGTCCCCGGCTAACTGAGCAGTTTAGGGTAGTAGCGGATATATCAGTGTGGGCCCTGGCTAACTGAGAAGTTTAGGGAAGTAGGGGATATATCAGTGTGGTCCCCCGCTAACTGAGAAGTTTAGGGTAGTAGCGGATATATCAGTTTGGGCCCCAGCTAACTGAGAAGTTTAGGGTAGTAGGGGCTATATTAGTGTGGGCCCTGGCTAACTGAGAAGTTTAGGGAAGTAGGGGATATATCAGTGTGGTCCCCGGCTAACTGAGCAGTTTAGGGTAGTAGCGGATATATCAGTGTGGGCCCCGGCTAACTGAGAAGTTTAGGGTAGAAGGGGATATATCAGTGTGGGCCTGGGCTAACTGAGAAGTTTAGGGAAGGAGGGGATATATCAGTGTGGTCCCCGGCTAACTGAGCAGTTTAGGGTAGTAGCGGATATATCAGTGTGGGCCCTGGCTAACTGAGAAGTTTAGGGAAGTAGGGGATATATCAGTTTGGGCCCCAGCTAACTGACAAGTTTAGGGTAGTAGGGGATATATCAGTGTGGGCCTGGGCTAACTGAGAATTTAGGGTAGTAGGGGATATATCAGTGTGGGCCCAGGCTAACTGAGAAGTTTAGGGTAGTAGGGGATATATTAGTGTGGGCTCTGGCTAACTGAGAAGTTTAGGGTAGTAGGGGATATATCAGTGTGGGCCCAGGCTAACTGAGAAGTTTAGGGGAGTAGGGGATATATCAGTGTGGGCCCCGGCTAATTGAGAAGTTTAGGGTAGTAGGGGATATATCAGTGTGGGCCCTGGCTAACTGAGAAGTTAAGGGTAGTAGGGGATATATCAGTGTGGGCCCCGGCTAATTGAGAAGTTTAGGGTAGTAGGGGATATATCAGTGTGGGCCCCGGCTAACTGAGAAGTTTTCAGAGAAATCATCATTGCATATTTATAAAATATTTCCTGAAGAAACGATACCTTCTCATTTATACATACATATTTTCCATGACTTGTAAATAAAAAGCAGAACATTTCAGCAGAAACATTTGACATCTTTAACTTTTGTACTTGGTTATCTTAGGATTTCCTCCAATGTTTTCTGGACTCATCGCTTGTGCGTTTTGTCTGCCACCTACACAAGATGCATGCGGGAGAATTCTATTTGTATGTAAATAAAGTACTTTACAAACATCTTAAAGTTGTTTTCACATCCAGCAATCAATAGTGATTTCCTTCTGCAAAAGCAGATAGCCAGAGAATTGGGGTAAGGTCCTGCCAATGACAACAGATATTGCTAAATATTGTCCTCGCTTATCAAAACACAAATCTTTGTGTCGCCCGGGAAATGGCAAATTCTGGCCTTTGTCATAGTGCTATTGAATTATTGTTCTCAGTTATGAGTTCTCATAACAAAGCTGTCCAGATTCCAGCTTGTTTCATAATATTTTGACGTTTCTCCAAATCCAGTGTTACTTTAGGCAGAGGCAAGCGATATGGTAGGTTTATTCATCATGCATTTAACCATAAATAGTTCTGTATAAGGCGTTTGAAATATTTTGTTTGCTTTTGTAATTATGTTTGTAGGCAGGGTAGGATATGGCTGGTTAGTTTACTTCTGGTTTTGGTAACCTCTCCTGGTTGTTAAGTTGTTATTGTCTTTTGTTATTATGGTTGTAGGCAGGGTAGGATATGGCTGGTTAGTTTACTTCTGGTTTTGGTAACCTCTCCTGGTTGTTAAGTTGTTATTGTCTTTTGTAATTATGGTTGTAGGCAGGGTAGGATATGGCTGGTTAGTTTACTTCTGGTTTTGGTAACCTCTCCTGGTTGTTAAGTTGTTATTGTCTTTTGATTTTGTTACCAATTGAGGCTGATCATCAGTTATTTATTATGACAAAATTTGATTGGAGGGATGAAGTAGATGTTTTATGGTCTGGTTTCCAAAAACCTCCTTATAAATAATGATTGGCTAGAACAGTTTTGTCATACTTGTACATTGTATAGTAACATGGTGTAATCCTTATATCATTGTATAGTAACATGGTGTAATCCTTATATCATTGTGTAGTCATAAGTACAGCATTTAATGGGAAACAGCCAGCAAGGCACAATGATTCATTCCAAAGATTGGGGACTTTGTTTTAATTTTCCAAGTAATACTGTCGTACAGCGGTATATGATTTCCCTTGCAGCTGGAAGGTACATGAACATGGATTTTCGTTCTGTACCTTTACAAAATCTCATTTTGTTGGATGACATTAGGAAAATGCAATTTGTTTTTTAGCCTCTAATTGCATAAATGCTTGAATTGAAAAGATTGAAAAGAGATGCAGTATATACTTCACTAATGTAGCTTCTGTTTGGGATGTTCCAGGAACAGAAGACAAAGAGTAAGTCGGCGACGCCCCCAAGTGATGAGAGAGACGAGGAGATATCCCCAAACCCTATGATGACAAAACGAACAAGGAGAGGCGCTTTCAGCGCCGAGGTCTATAAGGAGGAAGATGCTGCTCAGTATGTCAAAAAAGTAAGTTTTTATGTTGAAATAATGATGAAAGCTAGGAGACCATATAGCTCCATTTGCATCTAACTGTTTGAGATTTCTTGAGGTTACACCTTTACTGCAGGACTTGGGTAGGTGGGTTTGACATTTACTCTGAGTGCCATATCTTTATTGAAAGACTTGATGTTTTGTCTGTTGGAGAAATTACATGGTTCCAGGAACTCAAATGGTAAGAAAATTTTAAAGCAATATCTTTTGAATTTATTTCAAGTGCTCGAAAGTATGTGGTCAAATTCACTTAGTTACAGGTTAGGGGTTTATAAATTGAATCAAATATATTTTCAATGGTAAACTTCACGTAACAATATAAAGTGAAGTTTCTGGAAGTTGTTAAGGGCCTTAAAGGTTCTTCTGGAACAGTAAGTGTTTCTGACTTGTAGAGACAAGACTATTGTCTAGTCTAGCTTTCCTGAACAGTAAGTGTTCCTGACTTGTGAAGTCAAGACTATTGTCTAGTCTAGCTTTCCTGCACAGTAAGTGTTCCTGACTTGTGGAGTCAAGACTATTGTCTAGTCTATCCTTCTGGAACAGTAAGTGATCCTGACTTGTGGAGTCAAGACTATTGTCTAGTCTTGCTTTCCTGAACAGTAAATGTTCCTGACTTGTTAAGACAATACTATTGTCTAGTCTAGCTCTCCTGAACAGTAAATGTTCCTGACTTGTGGAGTCAAGACCATTGTCTAGTCTAGCTCTCCTAAACAGTAAGTGTTCCTGACTTGTGGAGTTAAGACCATTGTCTATTCTAGCTTTCCTGAACAGTAAGTGTCCCTGACTTGTGGAGTCAAGACTATTGTCTAGTCTAGCTCTCCTGAACAGTTAGTGTTCCTGACTTGTGAAGATGGTGTGCAATTAAATTTGGATGATACATTAGGTGATGAAGAGAATGACTTAAGAGCCAGTAATTTATATCGGGTATTAGGACCTCTACTGATAAAGGGCTAAATAAGCAACTAAGTCTATGAAAAGGTTGTTTGTCCTACAGAAAACTAAAATGGCAAAAATGGAAATCTCGAAATTTAATATACAATGTAGTTCAAAATTTTGTTCTTTTTAAATTGAAATCTAACTTTTGATAGATCTGAAAAACCAGACAAAGGAACATTTACATAGCTCCTGTGGTCTACCAATATAACAGCTCATTTTAACATGACATATAACATGTCCTCTTCTTCTGATTTAAAAAGTAACCAGAACTTGTAAGATACCCAAATTTGCTGTCTTCTAAACAGTCTTGGTTATTGGATAGAAATACAATATGTCTGCACCTAGAATGACTATACCCCCGCTTGTATACTAACAAAATATGTTATTGGTTTGCATTATGCCATACTAACTGTAACAGGAAGTACAAATTAACCTTTTCAGTTCAACGGTTAAGGGTACTGCAGCATTCCTTCATTTTGGGGTATTACAGGACAACCACCAACAGACACAGTAGATTCAATTACATAGGATTTCTTAAGCTTGATTAACAGCTACTAAAAAAAATCATGTACACTAGATGTTTTAAGACTGACTTTTATCTACATGTACACTAGATGTTTTAAGACTGACTTTTATATGCATGTACACTAGATGTTTTAAGACTGACTTTTATATGCATGTACACTAGATGTTTTAAGACTGACTTTTATCTACAAGTACACTAGATGTTTTAAGACTGCCTTTTATCTACATGTACACTAGATGTTTTAAAACTGAATGTTATCTACATGTACACTAGATGTTCTAAGACTGACTTTTATATACATGTACACTAGATGTTTTAAAACTGAATTTTATCTGCATGTACACTAGATGTGTTAAGACTGAATTTTATCTACATGTACACTAGATGTTTTAAAACTGAATTTTATCTACATGTACACTAGATGTTTTAAGTCTGAATTTTATATACATGTACTGCACTAAGACAGAATGTTCATACTGAGTAATGAGAAGGCCTTAAAACCCTAAAACCAACTTCAAACTGTCATACATTCTTTTCATGAGGCAAAAAATATAGAACTAGTTTGTCAGTTAAAGGTCCCGCGTCACATAACCAGGTTCTCAGAAATACTGTAATTGGGCTTGGTATCAACTTTCCACATGGAAACATGGATTTATATTGGTAAACATGAGATCTTTCGTTTCCTATATTTTGAAAACAGTTCAGTTTTCTGTCATTTGTACAAAAATTTAAAACAAAAAAGCATATGTTGTTTATTAAAAGGAACTGACTTTCATCAGTTGTTGGTTCTAGCTGTGCTGTTAAAATACTTCACTTACATTTCTTTATATCATGTCAGTCATTTTGTATGTAACCTCACATTTTTACAGGGGATTTTTTAGTTGGTTTGTAATAAACCTTCCATTTAAGATTTTATTAGGTCACCTGAGACAAAGTCTCAAGTGATCTATTGCGATCGCCTTTTGTCCGTCTTTGTCCGTCGTCCGTCCGTAAACAATTTACATTTTCGACTTCTTCTCCAAAACCACTGAACCAATTTCAAGGTCAACCAAAATAGTTGCTGGTTTAGTCCCAAGCCCCCAGGGGCCTGAGGGGCGCGGCCAAAAAGGGTCAAATTGACTAAAATTTCAAAAATCTTCTTCTCAAGACCAAGATATGGTAGAATCAAATACTCTTCATAGAAGGAAGGGTCTTAAGGTGCTTTACCAAAATTGTGAATTTCATGACCCTGGGGTCTCATGTTTACCCCTGGGGAGGGGGTAAACTTTACTATAGTTTATATATGGAAATCACATTTTGGACCAACATTTGTTTAATTTCCATTGGAAGTTATTCAATTTGGGTTAGCATTATCAGTATTGGATAGCAGTTGGATTGTATGCACATATCAGCCCTGACTGACCCCCCGGGGCTGATGGGAGGGGCCAAAAAGGGTTGAATTGACTGAAATTTCAAAAATCTTCTTCTCAAGACCAAGATATGGTAGAATCAAATACTCTTCATAGAAGGAAGGGTCTTAAGGTTCTTTACCAAAATTGTTAATTTCTTGTCCCTGGGGTCTCACGTTTTCCCCTGGGGAGGGGGTAAACTTTACTATAGTTTATAAAGGGAAATCACATCTTGGACCAACATTTGTTTAATTTCCATTGGAAGTTATTCAATTTGGGTTAGCATTATCAGTACTGGATAGCAGTTTGATAGTATGCACATATGAGCCCTGACTGACCCCCCGGGGATGATGGGTGGGGCCAAAAAGGGTTGAATTGACTCAAATTTCAAAAATCTTCTTCTCAAGACCCAGATATGGTAGAATCGGCAAAATTTATTATGGTTTATAATGGCAAATGAGACTTTGAATATTACATGTTAATAACTTGATTGGAATTATAACCTTGAGTTGGCAGTTTGATACTTTGAAAACTTTGAGCCAGCCCTACCCCCAAGGGCTGTAGGGTGGGGCCCAAAGGAGTCAGTGTGCTAACATTTCTTCATTTTCCTTGTTTAGAATCAGAGGTGCTAGTTTCAAATACTTTTTAAGCCGCTCTTGGCGAGAGCCGAGCAGCCTATTAATTAATTCTGTCCAGAGAACGAAATGACGGACCCACTTCTGTTCAGGGTGCGTGCACATACTTCAGTCTTGCATGCTTCCGCTATATAGTTTCGTTATCGCAAATAGAAAGTAGAATCTCAGACACTCACCTGTGGGTTACATAAAGTCTTCAGATACTCCTCTCCAAATAATCATCCTTACTTTAAATAATTGCTGGAAAAAAAGTTTGTCTCCGGTGCATTCTACGAGTGTTATGGTGGTGAAATTCGTGCACTAAGTTTGAGCGTTGTAGCAACTCTGTTTGCGGTCTGAGGAGTGTTACGCGTGTGAAACACATATGATTCGAGAAAGCACATGTGAAGACTGTCAAGCATTGACGCTGTCTGTAGAAGGAAGAAGTAAATATATATACTTATAAACCGTATGGGTGATGAAGTATACCCTCTATTTTGATGTTTGAAACGGGAACGTAATATGACATATCATGCTTAGGTTGATAACGGTAATGGCTTGGAGACGAGACGATATGTGAACTGTGTATGCTTATCAAACATTTCTGTAACACAGCATGCTATTTCTGGTATATTGATTTATGAAAGTGTAACAATTTAAGAACATGACACAACAGCCGCTGCTGTTTGACAAGAATTGGCGCCGTGTCAAAATAATATCCAATTCGGTGTAAGGGAAATAACTCTTACGTTGTTAAAGATACATTGAGAAATATAATTCAAATATATTCGAAGAACATTTGTAAGATTTTGTATATTCAATGACGGTAAATATAGTCGCTACATATATCAATAATTATAATTAATATGAATAAAAAATAAATAAAAATAAAAGGAGTACAATGTCTCTTTTCTCCATGCATGTTTTCCCACTACTGTTAATTATCCTTCATTTCACAAGCACAAAATGCACCTATTCTTTATTATCCATTCACCGATTGCCATTCTGCACGTAAATGCTCATGTCACATCATTGGAGGATGCTAATTAATGAAAATTACAACAATGCATCACACTTAAAGAGGGTGAAAAAAGAGGAGAGGGAGAAATGTTTTTAAGGCATCATTTAAGAGGCGATTGATTTTGAAAATCC